AATGTTTGGGAACCGAAAGCAATGACCGGAACCGACGAAATACACGTAACCATACCTTCGACTGGCATTCGGCTCTTCAAAGCAGAACTCGATATCTCTTCTCAATCTCAAGACAAACAGTTATAATAGGGTTTATGAGTGGGAGAGGGGTTCACCTCCCGGTGCGTAAACCCATGCCATACATCTCTGCCATCAAACATGTGATACAATTTAAGGGCAAATAACGGGAAACTAATTGTGTTTTTATTGTGTTATTCAATGCTATGTTTTAATTCTTATTCCATGTATTTTAGAAATAATTATTTTCTTAAATTAAACTTAATTAAAAATATTAAATAAACTTTTTTTAAAATATTTTATTAACAAATCATTTGTGAAATTATCTATAATTTGAAAGTTTTATTAAATGGTTTGATTAGATTTAATGCTTAATAGGATACAAATGAGTGCTAAAGTTTTTTATTGTATTTAATGATCCGCACATTGTTTGGGATTTTGACATTCTTTGTCTCGAATTTGCGGATCAGTTCCTCGAGGTATCCGTCAGTTAAATATAAGCGAAAGACTGTCTTCTTGTCGGCCAATGTTTTGGTGAGAAATTGAAACAAACTATCGATGAATTCAATCCATTTGTTACCACTGAAATTGCGTAATACTAATGAATCCAAAGGTGTGAACAAATTCAATGTCTTCAACTGAAACTCATGTAAAGCCATATCTATTTCAAGATGTTTTAGTTTCGAGACATTAACCACTGATTGCATCAATGAATGCAGACATTGTTTGGCGAAGAAGTAATCGTTGAAACGACTGCATTCTCTGTGGCAATCGATGGCAATTAGTGTTATTTTGGTCACATTTGGTAACATTTGTGGCAATTGTGTCCACCGTTTGGCCGAACCGTCGACAGCACACAATCTCAGAGACCGAAGACTAATCAATGGTTGCATTGAAGACATCATAACATTGGTGTCAAAAGTCATCCCAAGTGAACAAATTGAAAAATATCTCAAATCATGTAATTTTGATAGATTTGTGGCCAACTCTTCGCTCGAAATGGTTCCCAATTGAATATCAAGTCTTTGAAGTCGTGGCAAACGATTGCAAATTGTTATAAAGTGTTGTGAAGTGAGATTAAAACAACGGATCGTTATGTCCAACAATTGATCGCATTTTGTGACCACAACGTCGAGCGTCTGTGTATTCATCGATATATTTAGATCTAACTTTAAAACCCGAATGCCTTTCGGTATACTATTGGCCACAAATGACAGAACGATTTCGCGACGAGTTATGGGCCATCCATACCTGTCGGCAGAACTTATGGCTACACTTTGAAGCGATGATAATTCTTGTGTGATATTCAGTATAAAAGTCATCATTTCATTGTCTCTAAAATGAATCTCAATTTGTGTGACTTTTGATAAGAGTTGTGTCCATTCAGTGATTGTTTTCTCTTTTGATCGATTGATGGAAACGTACGACAAGTATATGCTTTTGAGTTGTGGTAAACGATTGACAATCATTTCCATTACCTCATAGTCGACTGTGATGTGAGACAAATAAAATGTCTTAACACTACAAAATATCTGAAGCATTGAATCCAAATCCAAGTGATCCGAAAGATTACTTGAGTTACTCGTGAGGACTCTCATCAAATCAATGGACATAAACTTATAATAAGTAAGAAAAGTGTTTCCAATACTGAGGTCTGTCTTCGCCGCCAATGCTTTTTGCGCACATTTGCGGAACTGTTGGGACACTCTTTGCATTGAAAACAATTCAACGATATCTATGTGTCTGAAGATTAGGAACAGTTCGTCATCGGTAAAGACGTGACCCAAATGATAATTACTTTCACTCATATCTTGTCTTTGAGTTCTTCAACAGTTGTGACTATTATTTGATAACTTTTCAGAAGAAATGTTTGTTTTATAAAAACTGATGAAACTATAAAATGACGGTTAGATTTGGTTTTAAATATTTAATTATTTGTCAGAAAGACTGGTTTAAGGCTAAACTAATGTTACGTTTAAGAGTATTGTTTGTTAAAAATTTATAACAATTGGCTTCAATTGAATGCAATGTTATATTAAGTTTTGTATTTTGGTTTCTAAAGGAAATAATTAGTTAATTATTAGTATTCAATTAAATAAATATGGGTTGAAAACATTCAATAGAATTTAGTTGAATTAATTATGTTTTTAGATTCATTAAAACTGATTTCATCACTAATTAAAATTTTATAAAAATTTATTGAATATATATATAATGTGGTAAACAATCTTTTAAACAGTTTTAAAATTATAATGATTTATCTCTTTTCAATTCCGACCACAACTTCTTTGGCGGCTAATAGACGACTGATTGGTCTGAATTGGAGGGGAACTGCCGTTTGTGACGATCGGAAGAAGCGATACCGGCGTACGATCTGAGCCAACCCTAACTTAGCCTCCATTAACGCAAACCGCATACCAATGCAATTACGAGGACCGGCGCCGAAGGGTAAGTATGTATAGGGAATGATTTTGTGTCTGTTTTCAGGCATAAATCGATCAGGGTCAAATTTGTGAGCATTCGGGTAGAACTCTTCCGAATGATGGATAGCATAGACCGGAATCTCAACGGTTTGTCCCGCATATAACTGTAGGCCAGTGTCGCCCACTTTATATTCGGTCTGCGCTTCCCTATCAAGTCGAGGAACCGGTGGATACAGGCGTAGGGTTTCGGAGAGGATTGCGTCCAGAAGTGGGAGTTTTGCCAACACTTCATAACTTATCTCTCCGTTGGAGTCGACGGCTGACTCGATCTCTTCGTAGAGTCTTTGCTGAATGTGTGGATTGAGTGCCAATTCGTACGAACAGAACGTCAAAGTGGTTGCCGTTGTCTCATAACCTGCGATGAAGAATATCCATCCCTGAGCTTTCATCTCGTCTTCACTCATCTGTTTGTTCCCTATGTTTACCGATAATGTCTTCTTCGCCACAGCCCTCTCTTCCTCTCCTAAAATGTATTACAATTTTAAACATTTTTATTTCGTAATAAAAATAGAAATAAATCAAACCTTCATTCACGTGATGTGATTCGTCGATATCATTGTCGTTGTCGTGAATCTCTTCCTTATTGTTATTCGCGTCCACAAGAAGTTGTATGAAATCATTATAAGACTTATTAGAGGTTTGTTTAGCTCTTCTTTCGTCTATTCGTTGTTTTGTTATATCAAAGAAGAATTCATTAACACTTTCCTCACTAATAAAATTGAATCCAAAAAACTTTCGCAAAACTTTTGGCATAAAAACAAAAAGAAGAAATCTATGCAAAGGAAAGGCGAAGATCTTCTTGGCGTTTGTCGTGAAGGGATTGTTGGGGTCTTTGTGTGAATTGGTTTTGGTAGCGAAGGCACACGTGGCGATCACATCCATCGTATAGTTGCCGTGCATTTCCTTTAGGTTTATGTCTTTCTTGTCTTTGGCGTACACTTCCAAGTGGTCGAGGAATTCCTTCAGACATTCCCTTACCATTGGATACATTTTCTTCATCTTTCCCGACGTGAAAGTGGGACTCATTATAGATCGCAAGCGCTTCCAGTCTTCGCCGCGACTGTTGAATAAATTCTTGTCTAAAATTCCTTCAGACATTCCCTTACCATTGGATACATTTTCTTCATCTTTCCCGACGTGAAAGTGGGACTCATTATAGATCGCAAGCGCTTCCAGTCTTCGCCGCGACTCAACTTATTTAAGAACAGATATTAGAACACTAGTTTACCAGATTGGGAAGCCAGCCGCTTCTCTACTTTCAGAAAGTGATTTTAACTAAAATAATAAAGACCAAGGCGCTGGCATTCCTAACCAAATATACCAATGAATACACTAAACATATTAATTTTAATGTCATTTAATATGCAAAAATGTTTTTAAAAATATATAAATGATTGTTATTTACCCGTAGAGTCGGCCGTATTTCTTAAACCACTCCAATTCCACAGAAGGCAAAGGTTTGAAAAGTGTGGACAAACTGTTGCCCACTAATGGGTAGGGTTTCGGTCCATTCAAACCCCTTTTGGTCCAGTAATTATAGTGTCGATTCAAATACCTTCAATCAAAATGTATTATTAGTTCTTAAAACGTGAATATCAATTAAACTCTTACATATAGATAAATGGTATGGCCGATAAAATGGCCAGAGTGAGCCATGAACTCCATGCCGTATCACCTAACACTTCCATTTTAATTAATTAGAAACTTTCAATTCAATATTTGTAATAATAATGGTTTTTCTCAATAAATACTCGTTTATATACTTGTAAATGAATGGGAGGTGTCGTCACTTCAGCCGCAAATCACATTTAAAGTATACATTTCTCAAAGTATTTGAAATACAAATAATAAATTGCACTGTACTGTATAGTGATTAAGTTTATACATGTGAATACATAGTGTAGAATAATCATTGTCCTAACCCTGATTATTTGTTATCTTAAGGATTAGTTAACCAATCATTTTAAATATTTCATTGCATTTAATATTGAAACGTTAAAACTTCTGATGTATAAATAACTATATTATAACTAAAGCTTCGATTTTCCGGGAGAAAAAACATCTAAATTCGGGAATAAAAAAGTCAAAATCGGGAAAATTCGAGAATTATGTTTTTATTCAAGTTTAACGCAACAATTATGCATTTAAATCATTTAAATTTGTAATAATAGTGAATGTCGAAGAGAATAAAATTGGTATTACAATAGTATCTCATTAAAAACAAACAATGCTTCACATGATACCACACCTTGATGAGAAACTCACTTGAGAAGTTCTTTAAGAAACTCATTACTTTATATATAGTTATATCCAGTTTAGCATTTTATTAAGAATTTTGATGAAATAGCTATAAAATAAATAATTATATCCAAAAAATGTGTAATTTCGGGAATATTTATCATAAAATATGACTTTTCGGGAATTTTCTCAAAAATATGCTGAAATCGGGGATTTTCTTAAAATAGGCCAAAATCGGGAAAAATCGGGAAAATAAAACTTATATATTTTAAGTCTATTATAACCCCTAAATCTAATGGTATATAATTCCCGATGATCTTGTTAACTATTTTATTCGGGAATTCCCGGAAATTCGAAGCCTTAATTATAACTATTTTATTATAATCAGCATGGTAAATTATATACATGTTCTGATAGAAGTAGCAAATATAAGTTATTACATTTTGTTTGAGTTAAATCATTCATTAAATAAGATATTAATTTTAGTGCAACCGAGTCTAACACCAAATAACACACAGACCTTGAATTTAAGCTATAATTTTATAATAATAACAAATTCTTAATTACAGTAATTAGTTATTACAATAAAACCTCTATTACTCGAACTGATCGTCACTAAAATGAGTTTAATAATAGTTAATGAGTTATGTTTACATAAAAACAATTTTTAAATAGCGTTTTAAATATAATTATTTATCTTTTTTCAATTCCGACCACAACTTCTTTGGCGGCCAATAGACGACTGATTGGTCTGAATTGGAGGGGAACTGCTGTTTGTGACGATCGGAAGAAGCGATACCGGCGTACGATCTGAGCCAACCCTAACTTAGCCTCCATTAACGCAAACCGCATACCAATGCAATTACGAGGACCGGCGCCGAAGGGTAGGTATGTATAGGGAATGATTTTGTGTCTGTTTTCAGGCATAAATCGATCAGGGTCAAATTTGTGGGCATTCGGGTAAAAGTCTTCCGAATGATGGATAGCATAGACCGGAATCTCGATGTCTTGTCCCGCGTATAACTGGATCCCAGTGTCGCCCAACTTATAGTCTGTCTGTGCTTTCCTCTCGAGTCTAATAACGGGCGGATACAGGCGTAGGGTTTCGGAGAGGATTGCGTCCAGAAGTGGGAGTTTTGCCAACACTTCATAACTAATCTCTCCGTTGGAGTCGACGGCGGACTCGACCTCTTCGTAAAGTCTTTGCTGAATGTGTGGATTGAGTGCCAATTCGTACGAACAGAACGTCAAAGTGGTTGCCGTTGTCTCATAACCCGCGATGAAGAATATCCATCCCTGAGCTTTCATCTCATCCTCACTCAACTGTTTATTCCCTATGTTTACCGATAATGTCTTCCTCTCCACAGCTCTCTCTTCTTCTCCTAAAATGCGTTAAAATTTAAAACATTTTAATATCGAAATGTTAAACAAAATACAGTAATAAATCAAACCTTCATTCACGTGATGTGATTCATCGATATCATTGTCGTTGTCGTGAATCTCTTCCTTATTGTTATTCGCGTCCACAAGAAGTTGTATGAAATCGTTGTAAACCTTATTAGAGGTTTGTTTGGACTTTCTTTCATCCAATCGTTGTTTTG